AACGGCACACCTGGGGTGGTGGGTCACCCACCCCTATAAATATGAGGAGAATGTTCTTTACCGCAGTCCAGTGATCCTTGCCAGGATTCCCTTGAGATTTGCTAACCATGCTAAAAGCAAAGGCCTCATCAGGGCGAGTACAAGTCATAGCATACATGATCGATCCAACAGCGGAAACATATGGTATACGACTCATCTTAGCTATCTCAGCCTCTATACTCGGACCCTAAGCTTTAGTAAGTTTGGCATTGCTTTGGACTGGTAAGTCACCTTTCATGGAATCATGCATGCTGAATCTTTTCAACACCTTATCCAAGTAGGTACTTTGACTAAGCCCAATTAGTCTCTTACTCCTTTCTTTCAATATCCTAATCCGAAAAATATAGACAGCTTCTCCGAGGTCCATCATATCGAAACACTTCCCAAGCCAGGACTTAACCTCCTGCAAGGTTGGGATGTTATTTGATATGAGTAGTATGTCATCCACTTAAAATACCAGAAAGCTAACTATGCTCCCACTAGCCTTGACATATACACATGACTCATCCTGGCTTCTCGAAAAGCCAAACTCTTTGACTTTCTCGTCGAAACAAAGATTCAATCTGTGAGATGCCTGTTTCAATCCATAAATGGATTTCTCAAGCTTACAAACTCTATTAAGGTACTTTGCATCGATATAACCCTCTGGCTAACTCATGTAATCAGCCTCACCGAACTTTCCATTACGTAAAGGAGTTTTGATATCCACTTGCCATATTTCATAATCATGAAATGCAACAATGGCAAGCATAACCCTAATAGACTTAATCTTTACTACTGGCAAGAAGGTCTCATCATAATCCACTCCTGGAGTATGAGTAAAGCCCTTCACTACCAGTCGCGCTCTGTAAGTGTGTACTTTCGCAACCATTTCGGTCTTCTTCTTGAAGATCTATTTGCACCCGACTGTCTAAGGACCCAGTACATTGTCAACCAAGTTCCAAATATGATTGTCATACATGAACTGAATCTTGATGTCTATAGCCTCTTTCCATTTAGCAGACTCGAGGCCTGCCATGACTTCCTTATAGCTGTTAGGTTCATCCCAATTTACCAGTGTGATATCACTAATAAATGTATCACCCATAGACGTTATATGCAAACCGTATAACACCGGTGGAACACTAACACTACTGGAATGCTGCAGAGGTACAAACTTGTCAATCAGTTCAACAGGAGTTTCCTCCTCAAGTTGATCTCTAATGTTTGAGGTTCCTTCACCGCTTGACTCTCGAAATTCTTCAAGGACAATTTGACTTCCACTATCCCCTTGGCCTATGAGCTCTTTCTTGTGAAAGACTCATATCCTCGCAACAAAGACAACATTGTCACTCGATCTGTAGAAAAGATAACCAAAGGATTTTTCTGGGTAGCAGATGAAAATACTCCGCTCATTCCAAGGTTCGAGCTTGTCATGAGTCTCGCGTCTCACGAAACCCTCGCAACCCCAAACCTTGATCTGGTCTAACGTGGGAGCCTTGGTATTCCACATATCATGAGGTGCTTTGGATACCTTCTTGGTAGGGACTAGATTAAGGATATGGGCGGCAGTCTCTAAGGCATACCACTAGAATGAGATAGGTAACGAAGTTCCACTCTTCATGGAATGAACCATGTCCAACAAGGTTTGGTTGTGCCTCTCAACCACAACATTAAGCTGTGGTGTCCTAGGTGACGTCAACTATGAAACAATTCCACATTCCTTAAGATAGTCAAGGAACTCGATACAAAGATACTCACCACCTAGATCGCATCGGAGCATCTTTATCTACCAACCAAGCTGATTCTGCACTTCCTGTTTAAAATCTTTGAATTTCTCAAAGGTTTCTGACTTATGCTTGATTAAGTAAACATAGCCATATCTACTGTAATCATCAGTAAAAGTCACATAGAAGTGGTTAGCATCCCTTGTGGTGGTTCTAAAGGGGCCACACACTTTAGTGTGTATGAGATCCAACAGAGCTTCACCCCTCTCACGAGTACCAGTGAAGGGTGATTTGGTCATCTTTCCAAGTAAGCAGGATTCAAAAGTGTCATCCAACCTTACGTCGAATGGATCCAACATCTAGCCTTTTGGAGTCGGCCTATGCGCGAATGGCTCCAAAGCTTCTTGCTGACATGTCCAAGACAACAATGCCACAAGCATACTTTATCCAATTCATTGGAAGAATCGATATGCAACACATCGTTTCCTATACCATTATAAGAATCATTTATAACACCAATTTGATTATCAAATGAAAAACTATATCCTTGTTTGTACAAACCATGAAAGGAAATAATATTTCTTGCCATATTAGACGAGTAGCAACAATTATTCAAATCTATTTCTAACCCACTACTAGGCAATAAAGAGTAAACTCCAATCTTGGTGACAAGTTAAGCCTTCTTATTCCCCATGATCAAGTTTATCTTCCCGTGCTCCACATCCTTACTTCTTTTTAGACCCTGCATATCATAACAAATGTGAAATCCACAACCTGTGTCAAGAACCCAAGAGTTAGAATGTGATGAGTTTTTAGATTGAATAGTATAAATACTTGCATGGGTGGGTTTAACCTTCCCATCCTTAAACTCCTATAAGTATTTGGGGAAGCTTCGCTTCCAGTACCATTTATTGTGACAGTAGAAACACTGTGCTTCATTAGGAATGGAAATAGGAGTAGCAGAACTAGAATTGGTCCCACTTGAAGAGGATCCATCAAGAGACTTTCCCTTGCGACTCTTTTAGAGAGCCTTCCTCTTCTTCCCTTTCCCTTATCCAATTGCTAGAACAGTGGCGGTGGTAGGAGTAGTAACAACTGTTTTACCTTTGAGACCACTTTCGGTAGTCCTCAAAAGCCCTTAAAGTTTACTAAGTGTGACTTCCTCCTTGTTCATATGATAAGTCATGCAGAACTGATCATAACATGGAGGTAAGGAGTGTAGAATGATATCTATCGCCAGCTCCTCAGGAAAGTTCACATTCAACATTAGCAACAGGTCGACAAACCTTTGCATTTTCTGTAAGTGGCCCGTGTTGGATTCACCATCCTTCATTCTAGTTGTTATCATGGAAGAGATGATTTCATACCTTTCTTGACGAGCACTCTGATGGTATCTTTCCATCAGGTCCTCGTGCATCTCAAAAGGGTAGAACTCCTCATAGGAATTTTGTAATTCAGCTGTAATCGTAGCCAAGATGATACAAGACACCTTGGTAGCATCCTTCTCATGTGCCCTAAACTCAACGATCTCCTCAAGAATAGCAGAAGACTCATCAATTTCCTTTATCTCCATGTCATGGATATATGCCTTGTCCTCATAGCGAGTGACCATCATGATGTTCATAATCCAATCATTAAAGTTGGAACCATCAGAGATGACTCTCCTACAAAGGTTCATGAGATATAAGGAGCCAGTTGGGTTTGAGCCAGAAGTAGTGTTGGAAGACATTTGAAAAAGTAGAAAGACAACGTTTAGCTTAGATATAGACTCCTTTATATAACACCCAAATTAAATATTTAGGCTAGGATCCAACATAATATTTTATAAATTAGAAGAGGGATGTCATTATCCTACTTGCAAAATATTTGAAGGTAGGTAATTGACTATTTACCAATTTCCACCATGAAAAACGAAATAGATATTAGGTTTTAGTTGGATTTAAACTCCTAGATCATTTGAGATTCATTGAATAACAATGCAAATTAACTTGGTACTCCTAATATTATCACCTAATTGATGTGGCGGTTAACCACACACGCTCCACCGATCTATGATAAACATTATGCAATCCTTTGCCACCCTTACTAGTCAATGTTAATGTGCCGATTAACCATACACGCTCCACTAACGACTTGGTAATCTGCAAAGTGCAATTTCATGTATTAGCATCAATTTCACATTTTCCTATAGTAACTAAGATTGGGAATTTAATACAAGGTTTAGTTACTTTATTATTTTCAGTATACTTTTATTGAGAATTATAGCCCTATCCTACCCGTTCGGCTAACGACCCTCCACCAGTCAAGGAAGCGGTGGGTGAGAGTGGACACCCATTAAACTGCCTTTTTATAGGCAGTAACCTAATACCCCCTTATAGACCGACTTCGTAAATAAGGCCTACTAACGGTATGACTGACTTGATCTTATATATATATATATATATATATATATATATATATATATATATATATATATATAAACTTATAATACTATAAAGTATAGGGATTTAATTTTAAACTTTGAAAATTCTAGGGTTTGGAATTAAAGCTTTCTAAAGTGACTTTCCAAATTCCAAAACTTGAGGGCATGTTTTGAAACTATTCAAAACCTTTCATTTCTATAACTTATGAGTTTTACTGACTTTTATGGAAAACACCCTTGGAATTCCATAACTTGAGGAAAAGTTATGGAGTCCATTAAAAGGAATCTAGATCAACAATTAAACTAACAAGCAAGTGTCAAATAATATGATCTAAGAAAAATCATAAGCATGGATAATTCAAAACAACAATTTTCAAGAATCATATAAACTAATATAAAATTTAAAACACTGACAATTATCTTTAAAATTAGATTAGAATGATCATTACCACATCAAATACATGTTTATAAGTTCAAAAACATTTTTGGGCGATGATCCTAGTCCAATTCCAACCTTAAAAGTCTAAAATTTGCACTCTGGATGTGACAAACTAGAACTTCTATCAATTTTTAAACTCCACTACGTCACCTTTTAACACCGTTTAAGGGTTCGTTTATGTGTTCCTAGCTTGAGTACAACCAAGGTTGAGATTAGCGATGAACCATAAAGTCGTTAAGTAACAAAATCGGGCCATACACCCTCTTCGGAGGAATGTACTACATCATATACACATATACATATACATTCACATACAAATACGTTTTTACGTATATACATATACATACATTTTTACATACATATCCACACATATACATAGGTGATTTCGGTTTCCATGTCTTTTGTTGTGAAGGAAAGAGTGATTTGGCTAGAGATTCAAGGTCTCCCACTCTATGCATGGTCTATTACAGCTTATAAGAAGATTGCAGTGATATACGGTAAGGTGTTGTTTGCTGATGAGGATCTTGATGAGCAATTAAGTAGTGGGAAGGTTTGTGAGGGTACTTTTCTATTAGACTTCATTAACAATAACCCAATTATTGATATTGAAGGAAAATCTTATGCTATTCAAGTCCGTGAAATTGCTTTATGGTGCCCAGAAATAAAGACGCCTAAAGATGATGCTATAAATGATAGGGAAGCTAAAAAAGAAGAGAATGATTTAAGTGACGATGAAGATGCGGAGAGCATAGATGAAGAGTCAGAAAATGGAAAAGACGATGATGGGATGAATCAATTCCTACCCGATGATCCATTTTTTTATAATGATAAGTTTGTTGGGTTGAAAGACGGTAATATTGAGAATGTTTCAAGTGACCAAGAGTTTTGTAATAAGGATCCAGTTAGTGCGTCGGTTAATTCAAAAAAGTTGATTCCTAACAAAGGAAAGTCATCGATGACAACCATGGTCTCAATCCGGAAGAGTCAGTACCTTCTCTTGTGGAAAAAATTGAACATGTTGGGGTTATTGATGTTGGTACAGGTGATGTTGGAGAAAAAGGCGATGTTGGAGAAAAAGGGGATGGATCTAGGGTGGATGAAAATTCTGATAGTTCAAGGTATTTATCTGCCCCACCTGGATTCAATGGTGTTAAATTCCACTCGACAGAACATTTGAAGTCAGTCCCTTCAGAACAAACATTATCGGCTTCATATATCAAAGGTAATAATTTAAAATATAAGGAAAAGCAAGTTAGTGTGGGGTCTCTTATGGAAGTTATGGAAAACTATATTGAATTTGGTAAAGTCCTGGGTTATGATTTCAAAGGGTGTAAGGAAGATTTGGCTTGTATGATTGAAAGTAAAGGAGAACAAATTAGTTTTAAATGAATATAATGTCAATTAATTGATGTGGTGTCAAATGCCACAATAAGAGAGGGTGGATCAAAAAACTTTGCATGGAACATTGTATTAGTGTGTTGGGTATTCAGGAGTCGAAATTAACCAGGTTGGACATGTTCTTGGTGAAATCTTTATGGGGCAATTATCAATTCTGTCACACCCCAAAACCGGAACGGCGAAAACGTTCTGGGGTGGATGACGTCATGTCAAGTATCACAACACATGCATTATAGTAATCAAAGTACAACAAAATTTTGCATTAATAGTAATAGTTTTACATAGTTTACATTACAATACATCAAAGAAATACGAGTAATGATATAAGTACATCTTGGTACTAAGCTATCTTCATCAAAAGCTCTTGGGATGTACCTGTCTAATGCTGACCTGAGAATACTAGTTATTTGAAAAAACGAGTATCAGCATTTTTTACAAATGCTGGTGAGTTCATAAGTATTTAGTGTCATGTTATACAAAATTTTATATAAGTGGTAGTTTTCAAGTATACAGTGAAATAGAGGCTTCTCAAGAAAATCCTATATTTTCTTTAATAAAAGCAGTCTTCTACCAAGACTGGACGGAGTGTAAGTTGCTGGTGAAATACCGACCGCGGACAATATCAAATGAAAGATACAGCTTGCAATGTCTGCAAACAGTGTGACTCTGAGAATGGGTTTCCAGCATACAGTGTAAGTTGCTGGTGAAGTACCGTTACCTTAAGGCCATGAATTATAAGGTAACCTAGGATACTCGTAACCATACTAACCGACACTAGAGTACCTGACGCCCTACAAGCGTCTATAAAATATGACATTTGTCACCCCTTGGCTTGGTGGGTCGTGGACTGTAGCTAGCAGTCAGGGTGCGGGGGTGTCAATCTCGTATAGATATATACACACAATGTTCACTCTCTCTACAGGAGACTCTGGTTACCAACTAGACGACGGAGAAGGCCGTGTCCCGAAGATGCATCCCAAATAGTGGGTAGTGGGTTTCATATGTAAGTACTGAACTAGGGGTAGAGACTCATAACTGGACTGACTAGAGTAAACCTATATGTCTATGCTCGCATACATAACATACAACTAATGAATCAAACGACCTTCAGACGGCCATCTGATCCCACCAGACCACATCTCAACGAAGAAAAGGAAATAGGGCGGACAAGCCTTCCTAAGTCCTTCAACCATTATTTATATGCACCTATACAAGTATAGACATACATCTAACTAATACTGAGTGTGTAACAAGTGGAAACACATCGTGATGTATAACTAAGTCGTGGTGTGTAAACGTACAGTGTGGAATAACCGAATCATAAAGTGTGAACAAATAGTGTGGAATAACTGAATCATAAAGTGTGAACGAATAGTGTGGAACAACTTAATCATAAAGTGTGAATGAATAGTGTTGAACAACTGAATCATAAAGTGTGAACGAATAGTGTGGAATAACCAAATCGTAAAGTGTAAACAAACAGTGTGGGATAATCAAGTCGTGAAGTATAAGCATCAACTAATATATGTGTATCACGAAGTGGAAACGTTAACAAGTAGGAATTTAAAACTAAGTAAAAGCGAAACAGTGGTATCTAACAAGTAGGGTATATAATATGAAAGAAAGGCTTGATGAAAACTTTGGAAAAACCTTTATACTTTAGAAAATCGCAACTTAGTATTCTTTGGTAAAATAAGTTTGAAAACCTTGGGTATTCTTTGGAAACCGTTCATAAACCAGTTTAAATGAACTTTGATGAAACAATATAGGTAAGAGTTATGAACAAGTGAAAACATTTTAGAAAAAACCATTTATAGTATCCTACTCGGTAAAATAGTTTACAGTGTGGTAAATTCTTGTGCATGCGGGTTATCAATCACATGTGATTGATATGATAACTGGCATGTTTAACTTGTATCCCCCCTTATAAAACATGTAAAAACATTTAAAAGCTTCATTCAGGGGTATGAACTCACCTGGTGTAAGTGGATCCGACGAAGGTGTCGGTTGAGTGTCCGGTGTCAAGTAAGGACTTAGACACACTTAGAGACCTATTTAACATATGGTAACATATGTTTACATACAATTAGTATATTTAATACTAATTAAACAAGTATACGCACTCTAAGGAGCGGAAAACACTTAGGTTAAGTGTTTGGCGTGTCCCGGGTAACATTTAAGGGCTCAAATGGCTTAGGAATGGAGTTTACTCTTCAAGAGTAAACTCACCTTATGGTGTTTATGGCCCAGGGACAACTCCCCATGAGTTTACGGCCATAAACTCATGGTGAGGGGTTCTAGGGTGTTTTAAGGGCTCTATCTTGTTCGTGGAATTTTGCAAGGTCCAAATCCGGAAAGTATGAATGGGTTTAGGGCTTTTAAAGGGACCATAAGGGAGTTTATAGCCCATGAGCCACCCCTATGGGATTTCACGGCCGTGAACTCCTATACTCTTGGTTTTATGGAAGTTTAAGCCCTTATTTCAATCCTAGTGATTTATAATGAAGGTATAAGGCCATTTGGGGAACAAACACTATCATTTGACATGGTTTGGGGGTGTTTACAGCCTAAGCACTTGCTTGGGCCGTAAACTCCTTTTTACCCCACATATCTTAGTTTTTAATTGTTCCAAAGCCGAAATATTAAGTCCCTAATTTATGTCTTAAGCCTAAGGGTGGTTTGGGAGTGTTTTTGGGGCATTTTTGTAAGGTTTAGAGGTGTTTACAGCCTAAGCATGTGCTTGGGCCGTAAACACTCTTTTATGCCCTAAAATCTTGTGTTTTGATGGTTAAACACTCCTAGACAAATTCCTTAATTGGTTCCTAGGCTCAATGGGACAAGTTCGGGTCATTTTGGCCACATTTAAGGTGTTTACGGCCTAAGGAGGATCTTAGGCCGTAAACTCCTCTTTCACAGCTTCTAAGTCCGATTTTTGGGGTATAATTACAAGCCAAGATGTTTGGAACAAGCTAGGGTAAGTGGACTTACGATTTGGAAGCGTTTGGTTGCGAATTCGATTTGAAAACGAGATTTATGCGAGAGAGTATAGAGAAAGGAAAAAAGGGTGAAATGAAGTTTACTCTCCCTTATATAGGGGTTGGAGTTGGGGCTCAGTGGGATTCTAACCGATACTGTCATTATACGGGGCTTTTGGTCGCACCCGATTTAGTGGTCGTAATAAAATTTAACCTTTTTCCAAATTAACATGGAAATGTAATTTAGGTGTTTTTATTTACGTTATTACGACTATAACGACATAAAAATATAAATAAATAAAACATTTATTTATTTTATGATCTCTAAGTAACGGAACTTTTATAAAATGGAATATTCCGTTAACGGTAACGGGGTAATGTAACAAAATAAACTTTGGGTTGTCACAAATTCCAGGTTGCTAGTAGCAGTACACAAGGACGTTCTGGAGGTATTCTCACCATTTGGGATCCTGCAGTTTTTTAAGAACATAAAACTTGGTCTACGAGTAACGTTCTAATTGTGAAAGGGGAGGTGGTTGCGTCTCGTTCTATTTGTTTTTTGGTTAATGTTTATGCTCCACAAGGAAGACAAAATAAGAAAATGATTTGGGAATATATTCGTTCTTTTATGTCACATAATAATGGTGAGTATATTGTATTTGGTGACTTCAATGTTGTTCGAAATTCCAATGAAAGAAGTGGGACAGCTTTCTGTCAAAATGAATCTGATGATTTTAACAAGTTTTTGATAAACATAGATCTTCTGGATGTGCATTTAGGAGGGAGGCGGTTCACTAGGGTGGATCGTTTGTGCTTAAAAATGGCCAGACTAGATAGAATCCTTGTTTCTAATGGTGTTATGCATTGGTTTCACAACATGGTTGGTCTGGTTCTTCATAGACTTTGGTCGGATCATAGCCTTATTGTGTTGAAGAATGAAAAATTCGATTATGGTCCCATATCGTTTAAGATTTTTCATTCTTGGTTTATGCTTGAAGGCTTTGAAGACACAACTAGGGATGGTTGGTTGAACGATCATATGTCGTTAGAGAATGGTAAGTTCTTGGCTTTTAAAAATAAACTTAAAATTTGAAAAGAGAGATTGAAGGTGTGGCATAAGGGGGTAATTATTAAAAGCAATGGTTTGAAAAAAGATCTCTTGTCAAAACTAGATGATATTGACTCACTGCTGGATGGGGGTAGACATGATGGTGATATTGCCTCAACGAGAATTGATGAGCTAAAACAATTAATGGATTTAGAAAAGATTGAAGGATCGGATGCGGCTCAAAAATTAAAGAAAAAATGGGGTGTGGACGGAGATGAGAATTCAAACTTTTTTCATAGCATGCTTAAAAGAAAAAGAAGAAAGTTGGCTATTTCAAGCATACTGGTTGACGGTTCTTGGGTTGTTGATCCTGTTAATGTCAAGGATCAATTTTTACGTTTCTATAAAGAAAAATCAAATGGTTTTTCGGGTGTTTTTTCTCCTCACCCAAATTCTCGGATCAGACAACTCTCCGCGGGCTTTAAGGAGATGTTGGTTGCGAGGTTTACTGAAGATGAAATTCACACTGCTATCTGGTCATGTGGTAGTGATAAGGCTTCTGGTCCCGATGGTTTTTCTTTCCATTTTATAAAAAAGTTTTGGGATCTCATGAAGACAGATATCTATAATTTTGTTGATGAATTTTTTTGACACGAGCATGATCCCAAATGGATGCAACTCATCCTTTCTCACTTTAATCCCAAAAAGAGATAGTCCTTCGAACTGCAATGATTATAGACCAATTAGTTTAATTGGTGTGCAATACAAAATTATTGCAAAGCTTCTTGCAAATAGATTGACACAGGTGATTGATGATCTTGTGAATCATGTGGAGTCTGCTTTTGTTAAAGGCAGATAAATCCTTGATGGTCCATTAATGGTGAACGAGACTATTCAGTGGTATAAAAGAAAAAAAGAAGAACTTAATGATCCTTATAGTGGATTTTGATAAGGCATACGAGTCAATG